TATGCCAAAGCTGAAGGAGAAGCATTTTAATTTGACCTTCTCGTCAAAGATGTCGGTGAAGCTAGCAGCTCAAGTGTTTAGCTATCACTGCGCAGTTGCAATGTATGCCCTTGTTACTTCTTAGCAATTGCCAGCCACAGCTGTTCACAGAGCGAGATTCGTTGAAAGAATCGACCGTCTCTTTGACAGCCTAAATAGCTCGCAGAAATCTGCAAAGACGCCATATGCCTCTGCAATCTGTAACGGCTCTATCCATGAGGAGTTTCTGAAAGAGTGCATTCTAGTTTTTAAGAGCCTGCAGGTACTCGGATGTGGAAGGCAGCCGCACTGCATTCGTGGCTTCTGCTTAACAATTAGTTAGGTCTCTAGTGCTGCTCAGCAATCACCTCGCAGTTAATTGCGGTTTTTCCCACTTTTTAAACCGCCATTTGAACCAGGACACCCTTGAAAACACTTTTGCTGCTATACGTTCAAAATCAGGTGCAAACACGAACTCCACTTTTTGGCAAATTCAGGCTGCGTTCAGGCACCTTTTGATTAGCAACCTATTCAAGCTGTCGGAAAATCAAACTGTGCTGATGACAAGTCTCTCCTTGCTACGTTCCCAGCAGGCCTTTTGGCACCTTCTCCTCGTCTTGCCTTAGGAAGCACAGTTTTTCTTACCACGGCAGACGATTCGCCTTCACGATTCGCCGCTTTCTTCTGTTGCCCCTTTGGCAACAGAAGAAAACAACATGGTTTATTTTGCTGGGTGGCTGGCATCGAAATTCCTCAAGGTTCATTCCTGTGTAGGAACATCCCAGAAATATGAGTTGAGGACAGAAAATGCGTGTTTTTCTGAGGGAAATCAAGTGATCTTGTATTTGAGTGTGAAAGGAACTGCCGACTCCCACTTTGGAATCCTCTCAGATCCTTCTGCTTCTTTCATATTATTTGTTGAAGCATCTGAGGAAGTCTTCGAGACATGTATCAACAACCTAATTTCAAAGGAGAACGTAGGGCGGACTCTTTGTGTCCTTTTTAACCAGAAGATTTCAAAGTTTCTGACTGTATGTGACGAAAGTGTTTATGATAATTTGTTTTCTCTGATTGCCAGAGTCATTCTGCACTGGTTCGCGCGGAAAAAAAAATGCTGACTATTTGATACAGCACCAAAGTGTAAAGCTAGACAGCAAGTGCGCAGACTACGTATGCGAGACCACCCAGAGTACTTTTTAAAGCAGTGCAGGCATGCTCCATTCGAGCCTTTAATTTTCTTCGGTTTCTTGAGGAGTAATGTAGTCTTCTAACTTATTCACATATATAGAGTTTAAAGCTGTGAAGCAAAACTGGCTTATGAAGTGCAGCATACCACAGGGCTCCAAGAGGGTTTACTCCACTTGGCTTCCTTGACCTGCACCAAACAATCGCTACGTTGCAGTGTAGCAGCACCAGCAGATGCAAGTTAAGATATTTTCAGCATTATGGTACCTTGCCCAAGGAATGTGTAGAGAAGTGTAGCTTTTCTGTGTATTACAGTGGTGGCCTCACTTGTCGTCGGAACACTGTGGAACCTCCGAATTATTAGTGGCTGCCTATCAACTGTCAATGTCCTCACAACATCCAGCCGATTGTACACTGTCTTATGTTATAACAGTGTGCTTTATGTACCGATCTACTAATTTTCTTTGACCATGACCTTTTTAAAACAATTTTTAAACCGATTGTATAATTCTAGTGAGTAATCGGAGTGAATGATTGTAAGTGAATAAAACAAATAAAACGTGACTGTTAAAGCGACGTTGGACTTGCATTAGAGTTACTGTTGTGTATTTCATACGCCCAACATACTCCAGCAATTTGATTCACTCTTTTTTGTGACATTACATAATTTGCTTTAAGGTTCCTCACATATTTCCCAGGGATCCTGAAGGAACAAAGAGCAAAACACTGCGGCTGGAGTTTGACCACAGTGCAAAGACACGATGATGTGACGAAATGAAACTACTGTCATAGCAGGTCGGCTAACAAAGTCGGCCACAGAAAAAAAACATTTCGAACAAAATATAAGAGCAAGGGCAAATAAGGGTGTAAACGATCCAGTATTCCAGTATAGAGTAAACACAAGGTGTAAACACCCCAAGAAAAACCCGAGACTGCAGGTAAAACGAACGACATATACACTAAAAAGTATCAAACAAAGCTAAAACACGGGGCTATGTTTGAGACTTTTTAGTGTATATGTTGTTCATTTACCTGTGATTTTTGGAATTAGTTTTGTTTAATTTTCGCGCCAAACCGCACGCACGCATGACGTCACGTTTTTTTTCCGGGAGTGTCGTCATTTCTTGTTGATTTTTTGGTCCGCCGGAAGTGTCCCCACGACTCATAGATGGCGCTAAAGCAGCTCCATGGGCCGCCATTTTTTCGACATGTGGGCTTCTATGGAAGCTTCGCTACCCATGTACATATACCTTGCCGTACGCTCGTTCGTTGGTGGCAGATGGCGTCGCAACCGCTTGTGCAATCCCTTGTCTCCCGTGCCAAACGTCGCCCGATTGTTTGAAGACCGGTGGCTTCGCTGCGTTTCCATAGGAGTTAAGCCTTTTTATTGTTTTACTTTTTCCTCATGTAAGTTCGCTCTTTGCAAAATTTATTTAAAGAATGCACCTTCTGTGTGAAACGCTGCGAAAAATCATAGCGCAATAGGATAAGAAACCGAATTTTGCGGTCGATTTAAAGAGCCTCGCCGTTACTTGAGACAAGCTGTATATTACCGAAAAGAGAAAATCGCATATCACGTGGTAGGTTGTAATTACCACGAAGTAATTATTACTCGATATTAACCGACCGAGTTTAGTGCTTAGTCGCCTCCAGCGACTTAAAAAGGTTATTTACAAATTTTATTCAAAGGGTAGGGCTAACTTAACCACTGTTTTGTAGGATAGCGGTTCAGAGCCATGGCTGACTCCTGTCACAGCTGATCGCCAGCGCTATCGTAGAATTTACAGTCTTGTAAAACTAATGAAGACATATGAAAATAATCGTACCAGCAAATATTGCGGGATCAGTTATGGTGAGAGGTACGAGGGGCCTAAAATGGCATCAGCAGGTCGCAGCACGATGAGAGAACCGGAATTGGCGAGTACTTCAACATTCGATTGTGTCGCTGGCTTCCGGGATGTCGACCATGAGTGCTTTTAATTTTATATGTAAACCTCTGCCCTGGACAATCAGGATTTTATTAAAACATGTTTTGTATAGTAAGTATTTATTTTTTATTTCTTAAATTCGATTTCATTATTAAGCTTTCAGAAATTTCCAGGTATCTGATCTCAAATGTTCCCCGCGCAATTTCACGCGATTTATGCACCAATTTAGTTTTCCCGCTAAATTTAGTGGAGAAATTGACGTCACGTTATCTGTGACCAATTCAGGTTCCCCGCTACATTTATCAGAAATATGGGCACCACGACCTACGCACCAATTTAGTTTTCCCGCTAAGCTTGGCAGAAACATTTATGTCACGTGACTTACAGCCACGTGCCCTATGCGCCAATTCAGGTTCCCCGCTAAACTTAGCGGAAAAATTGATGTCACGCGACCTAAGTTCCAATTCAGTTTCAAATTCAAATTTCAAGAAGACAAATTCATGTTCCCCGCATAATTTAGCGGGGAACCTGAATTTAGTGGGGCTCGCGATAAAAGAAGGAGGTGAACATGACGAACGCTATCGCAACTCATATACAACCAAAAATAGTGGTTTCTGTCGTTTTTTTTTTTAACTACGACATCTCCTTTCACACAGTGTCGTTTGGGTATGCGCATGTGTGCGCTATCATTTTACGTCACGCCCTCTGTTACACCCGACTAGATCCGGATGCCTTGTGCTCGTGAACATCGCTGGGGCGAATCGCTTTTTAGTCGCTGACTGTTTGTTTAGGTCACGACCACGCGATACTAACTTCAAAATGAAGTAAGTTACGCAAACATGTCAAATACAGCTGCATATACTTGTGAAGATAATAGACACGAAATGAATACAGCGAAAATCGCAAGTATTTTTTTCTGTAAAGAAATGTTTAGGGTTTTTTCAACGAAACTTCTCCCGTATGGCTCGATTATGAAAATAGCCTCGAACTACATTGTAATATTTAATTCACGCAAATATTTTGGTTCTTTTTATATTATGCACTTTCGCTTTAAATTTGTCGTACTCTTTACGTTGATGGTGCTTCTGCGTGGCTTTATTGGAAGTTACAGTACATATATTTTTTTTTTGTTTCACGAACGACCACCCAAATTATACTGCGATTGAAAGCGGTAGCTGTTACATGATAAAAAATTGTGCTTTAAGATGTTTAATTTTAGTCGCTATCCCTTAGGATGTTGGCTTTAGGAGGTTTCCTTGTAGAATAGTTGTACACTCTAAAAAAAGCCCGTGAGTCGGCTTTCCCGCACAACACTCGGAGAGCCAATCAGCGCAACTTACGGAGGCAGCTCAGCGAATGATGATGCCGAAACATATGTTTAGAGCAAAGCACGCAGTCTGGTTGTGACATTAAGCAATGCAAAACGTCACGCTTGCATTGCTTAATGTCACAACTCAGACTTCGTTGTTTGGTCTAAACATATGTCTCGGCATAGTCATTCGCTGAGCTGCTTTCGTAAGTTACGCTCATTGGCTCTCCGAGTATTGTGCGGGAAAGTAGACGTACGGGCTTTTTTTAGAGTGTAGAAGATGCGGTAGGCGGGACTTCGCCGTTAAGGGGCACAGTCTGCCCCTGGTAATTAAAGGTCAGTAAAGAGACGTATTACACAACTTCGGAAACCTTTAGTAGTTTAAGATAAAACAATGTTTCAGGATACCGGACGTGTGCGTGTGCACATATATATATATATAGGAACAAAGTTAGAGAGAAAAAAAAAAGAGGAATGCATGTTAGACATGGCATGACTCACTTCAGATCACCATTGCAATTAGTGTGTTCGCGTCTATTGTCAGCTTTCCTGATTTTCTTTCACGTAATGGGTGAGCGCGGCATGAATCGCATTCGTTGAGACTTTGGTGAGTTGAATGACACGCAATTGGAGGTGAGGTCGATCGTTTGGCCTTCTTCGGGGAGAACATTGAACTTCTGCAGAATGCTGGTCAGGTAGAGAAAGTACGCCACGGTTGAAGCTCCTTCTGCGGGGCACATACGCTTGCCTGGGGGAATTGTTCAATCAATCAATTAGTCAGTCACTCAATCAATGTCTGATACAGTGTACCGAACCAGCGATTCGGCTTAAATCCGATCAGTTGTTCGGCCTACACCCAAACAGCTGTTTCATTTGCTTGGCACTCACTCAAGACCAATAAAACAACATTGATATATCTTACTTAGCCCACATGATTCAGACGGTTTTGACATTGAAAAAATAGCCGAGAAATCAAGGTACGTATTGTAGGACTTATTATACGAGGTACTGAACCCTAGACAAGGGAGTGTCACAGTGCACATTAAAAGTCTAGAAAAGTGACCTCATCCTGGTTTCACATTGAAGATCATTGAATAAAATTTTACCTTCCAGTAAAAGAGAGTCGATCGCAGTATTAATCATTCTGTTAACCAATATTATATCACAAACGAATCGCCTTATATGTTAATTTCCGCTGATTCTCATGATATTGCTCGAGCTTATGCGGCATCAGCTATAAAATCGCACTGTCACGCATGCTTGAGTTCCTTCAGAAACGGTCTAGCTATGTGACGAACTATTGCTTCCACTGTTGGTCGGCAGTGGTTTTTTAAAACGCGGGAAAAACCACGCAAAAATGTAACCCCCCAAATTTAAATATATATATATATAAATAATGTATGGATACTGTATGTTTACAGGCTCTGAGAATTATCTTTTGCCTTTAAATATTTTGGTTAATCTCTTAGATCCTAGACTTGAATTTCCTCTGTCTAAAAAAAAGGGGGGGGGGGGGATAGTGTTCTTCGCGAACTTAGGTAGTGGGCATTTTCGCATTGTTTTTGGGTTATAAGTTTTTTTTTTAAATAATTTATCAAAGACCTAGAAATGTTGGAGGGTTTTCCCATTTATAGTATTCCGGATGTTTCATTGAAGACTCTAAGATAATCCCGCAAAAAAGGGTGGTCGAGGGAAAAAAGAAACTCTTAACGGGAACAAACTGCCAGCCAAAGCTAACGACAACTTTAGCCAAAAAACAAAACAAAAAAAAACAAAAAACATACTAATTGCATAAGTGATGAACTAAACGTACAGAATAATTAACCTTTAATTAGTGAAATAAACATATCGGTCCACTTCAAAACTTACTGAGCATCATCGAAGACCACTCGATCAGTCTATATTACGAATACAAAATGTCCCTAAATGTCCGAAATGTCTTCCGCATTGCCGAACGCTCCTTCATCACCCAAATGCAGAGCGTGAGGTCCGAACCAAATACAAAAGTTTCAGCACGAACCGTTATCTTATTAAAAAGTTATTAGTGATTCTCTGAAATCCTAATAAGAAAATTGCGGCCGATGGAGCTCTCGAATTCACGATGCTGTATGGCTCCAGAAACCGAGAACTGACAAAAGTGGGCCCCATTTCTTAATTGAAATTTTTATAAAATCACTTATAACGTTCGAATAAAATATATCGGTTCGTGCTGAAACTTTGGTATCTGGTTCTGACCTCTAGCACTATCTTTGGCCGGAGAATTAATGAGCGCTCGGCGATGCATATTTTATTTTTGCGATTAACAAAACACTGCAAACTTTTTTTTTTTTTTTTTTTTTTTGGGGGGGGGGGGGAGGACATTATAAATTAGGGCCATAACGCATCCCAAAAAACTCGTAATTTAGACGCTTTCTAGGTTTCGATTACCTATCCGATCGAAGTTGTATGTATATATGTGCGTATGTATGTATATATGGGGCGATTCCCCTTTGAATCAGGCGTAAATGAAAATAAACAAAAAAAAAAAAAAGCAAGACATAAAAAAAAAATCAGAAATCACAATATATTCACTCGTTGAGTTTCGACAATGTACCGCCCACCAGGCATCGAGTCTCCGCTTCGAGCACTGCATATACATGTTCTCCTTTGGAAACCCGGGCACGTTTTCGATGCGCGTGCCGAGGTCTGCGGCCGGTGCAAGTACTGGACACTCAAGAACGAAGTGGTTTATAGTTTCTTCCACTTCACCACACGCATAGCGTACTGTGTCGGTCACACCGGTGTCGTAACTTCGGCGATACAGGCGGGCACGCAAGGCGCCACCTCGGGCCTCAGCGAGCAACCTGCTGCCCAGCGTATTTTTACACATGAGGATAGGAGTAATGCTGGGCCTTGAAAGACGAGTAAACACATGCATGAGTGTTCTTGCATGTCTGCTCTCCCCCGGTCCGCCTCAACTTTTTGAATTTGCTCTCTCACCTTGGCAACCCGCTCTGTCTTTGTGGGAGGCTCGTCAGGCATTGAGCAGGCCCCGTACTTCGTCCCCAGTCGGATGGTACGGTGTCTCCATGTGGTGTGCGCGCCATTGAGGTGAATGTACATAAAAAAAACCCGGAGCGCCCAGCAATCTCAATTCATGTGTCGCAATCGAACGTTGCACTCCAACGTGCGGCTGGCCTCCCGTGCCTAAAAATAGGACCAGCAGAGGTCTCCTTGAACTTGTTTGTTCCCGACTCCTCTATGACATACTATTGCCTGGCGTCCGATTTCCCTTTGTCGTCGCTCAATGTATTCTCGGAAGTCGTTGGGAGCACACCTAATGGCATTCGCGAAAGTCACGCCAGGTATAGCTTTATTTTTCCAAAGTTCGGGGATTATTACATACCGATCGCAACTCCAAAGGCTCTCTCGACGTAGCACATTTCGTTTCCTCAGCGCTGACGCCTTCAGATTCTAATGGTGCCCTCCCAACTAATCTTCTGCACTGATCCGGGTCACTTCAAGGTATCTGTATTGGCTATAAACCAGGAGCGCAGCAATCTGAATGTTGAGGGGTTCAAGGCTTCGCCCTTACCGGGGATCAGCCCTACGCCCGACTTGTTGGCACTGAATTGCAGTCGAAGCCGAGCAGCTCCCGCTTCGCGGGCGATTAGCAGTTTCCTCATGTCTGACAAGTTGCGAGCCAACAGTACTAGATCACCTGCGGAAGCGAGCCTGGGAAGACGCAATTAGACCAATTCTTTGTGCTGCATGTGTTGGAGAGTAAAGATAATGCCCGTCTGTTCCAGCACCTTTTCCATTGCGGATGTATAGAGGATGTATACATCCGGCATTCATAATGGGGGACTACAGACAGCCGTGACGTAGTCTCCTGCGCAACGGAACGTCACCAGTGAAAGCTTCATTAAACGTTGCCATAATGTGATTTTCATCATATAGTTGCTTTATTAGCTCCACCCAGGGTTCCGGCAGGCTGAGCTGCTGAAGCCGCCTGGTCAGCAAGGAATGGGGAACAGTGTTGTAAGCTCTAGAAACGTTCAAATAGCAACAGATTAGATGTTGCTCTTCTAACCGAACGACCCCAACACATTGGGTCAGCCAGGACAAGTTGTTATCCAGTCGACGTTCTGTGCTGAAACTGTTTTCTCGTTCGGTGAGAACACCAGCGCCCTACGCCCAGTATGACACGCGGCAATTAAGGATGGTCGCAAACATGCAGTAGGCTATAGCCGTGAAATTGAGGGGGCGGTAGTAACACAGGTGTTGCTTGTTGCCGCCTTTCTTAGGAATGAATGTGACTCGACCACGCATCTAGTCCCTTTAAATTGATTCTTCGCCGCAGGCTATGTGGCCAAACAGGTGTGCCATTTTGGCGCAGTAATTTGGTCTCAAATTCTTCAGCACCTTAGCCGAGATTCCGTCTTGGCTAAGGTGCTGAGACGGAATCTCGGCCTAGATTCCGTCTCAGCACCTAGTCGAGATTCCACTTGCACCACTAATATTACAAATTCACCTCTGGATGATGACAATAGAAAGTCCTCCACGATCCGGCTCTGAGTTTTCGAGTTTTCTGAGAAAAATTTTACATCCGCAGCTCCAAACAGAATGTAGAGCTGCTCTTCAAGGGGTTCTTCGATATCCTCCTGGACTTTTTTTCTCCATCTTTTTCTCCACCTTTGATGTCTGATATCGCCTTGCAGCAATGGGCATGTATTTTCTCTTCCACAGTGTCTTGCGCTTGCGCCGTGCACTTGCAGTATTCTTCCCATATCTGCGAGGTCAAAGTATTCTCACCAAGTGTCTTCAATGCTTGTCTATGTCTCCGGTTATTTTTTGTTGTACTTGAATGGACCTCTTAATTTCAACATCCCACCATAAGATTAGTTTTCGCTTTCCTCGTGCGCTTTTGACGGTAGAGCGATTAGCGATAGGGGTTCTGAGCTTTATCGCAAAGTCGTCATAGCCTAGTACGTGCACATGTCGAATGCTCTCGTCAAAATTTGGACGACAGTGAAATAGTCGTCTTCGCGTAGTTGGGTTACAACTTTTCGCTGTGAACGACTTGGAGTTTCTCACACAATGCCGAAGTGCAGGAACATGCTTTTGTGATCGCTGCTGACACTCAACTGACCCTTTTCGTTTACGACCTTCTTTTGAAGATTGGTGCCCAGTCTTTTTGACGCAAGCGGATAATCTATGCACGTTCGGCGGCCTCGCACAGTCCAAGTATGCTGTCCCTCACAATCTTCTCTTAAGTTCAAGATCTCGAGTTCCAGGTCTTCCACCAAGTGTCTCATCATCCTGCGGTTATTATATTACCATCCATCCAATTCGACCAGGTGGCTATTAAAGTCTCCCATTATCACCACAATGAGACCGTTGGGCAGGTTGCGTCCATCTTGACGAACACACTCGAGGATATTGTTTTTTCTCTTTTTGGCGGTTGTTTCCCACTGAAAGATAAATGATGCAGACTGCTGTCAGCGCGTTACATATCATTCTGTGCACTCATAGGCTCTCCCGGCAGTTCCCGCATGTCCAAAGCCATGCTGCTTCATGACTTGAGAAAAGCAGTCCTATGCCTTCACCTCGCCTCTCACCTGAAACTCGACTGCAGCCACTCCAGCACTAGGCTTAATCTATAAGTGGTTTTTCCATGTCCCACAAGTGGGTTTCCACTACACCGAATATAGAAATGACTTTCTGTGGAGAGCCGTGTGCAGTTAATGCCACTTATATATGACGCCGCGCACCATTCATAATAAGAATGACTACCACAACACTTCCTTGTTTTCGCTTCTTGGTTGTTGATCTCCGTTTCGGAACGTAAGCGCGATCAACTGCTTCTTACGCTCCCGCTCACGGCCTCTCTATTACTTATAATTTTGCATAGCTTCAACCTGCTGTTGGACCAATTGTTGCAGAAAGTGTAGCAAATCCAATTATGGGGGAGCAGAAGGGCGTCGAAGAAAATTCCCGTTGATCCAAGAGCATGGCCGGACACCCCGCACTGATGAAGGTCTGTTGGTCTGAGCAGTTACACTCGGAGGTAGGAAAGCGGGGGCAGCTGGGAGGCGGTGGAAGTCTGCGGGGAACAAAATGTGGGGCGAGCTTTCCGACACAGGTGGTAGCTTGTCCCAGTGATGAGTTTCCCTGATTGGCGTCATTCTAGATGCTTGTCTTTGCGGATGTCATGGCCATACTGCGCAGGTAAGAGAAACGCCTATTTTTAGTCCCGCCAATGGTGATTACTGCCTCAGGTACTCTGGAACGGACCCTGGGCCAACCTTACGGTGTTTTCTTGTGTCCGGGGTCCCCGGGCTTCGTATATGGTCTTATGGTGTGCCAAGAGGCGCGGGGTACACCAGACAAAAAACCTGGACTGCCGTATTTCACATCTGGCGCGGGAGATACTGGTGCTTGTATCATGTGTTGCCTGCTGGTCACCGGCAGTCTTAATCTTTGGCTCCTACGTTGCAGGAACCCTAAAACAATGGTTTTCCACAACCCCAGCCGGGTTTTCACCGATTGCACAGGTTGTGAAGAATAGTGAAGACTATCATTCCCGAATCCAGTCGTGTCTTCGAAGTATCAGATAAAGCCTAGAAACTGTGATTTGATTTTCTTGCAGAGGTGCTTTCGTTTGGCATTAAGCATCAAGTTCAGAACCTGAAGCACATTTCCTCTGCCTCGGATCTCTAGAGCTCAGCATATGGCTAAGCTGCCTTTTCGCTTCGTTCACCTCATCACTAAGCATTATATTATACCATCAGGTATATCACCCTGTAGAATATTGATCACACCGACATGCATGATGTACACACATCATGCATGTCGGTGTGAAGACACAAGTCTTCCTCGCTCTTTGTATGTGTCAATCAGGTCATAAATCGTTTCTACGGTGGCTTATTCGTTTAATGGAATCGCCAGGCTCTGGTGATCACCAACTTTCTCAGAGAGAGCTCACTCAAAAGGGGCCACATTGCTTCCTCCGGCGACAACAACTTAGCTTTGCCGTGAGAGCCCTGCACCCACGCGGCCGAAGCGCGCAATTAACGCGTTGCCTTCCTTGTACGATCGAAGGAAGTGGCGCACTTACGGCCACGGGTTTGGCGGACACTCTTTCTGGCTCAAAGATGCGCGCCGTCAGCAAACCAAAACCTAAAAACGCGTTAAAATTCAACCTTCTTTTTTTTTTTTTGGGGGGGGGGGGGGGGGGGGAGGGGTTGAGGAGGGGGGGGGGGAGGCTGTAAAATACTGTAGGTGCCTAATATTTTTTTCTAAAATTAGTCTTCTTAGTTTTTTTAGGCAATGCTCTGCATGCTTTTAATTAAAACCATACAACCATTTTAACAAATCAGAGGAAAACAATGAAAAAGAATCAGTTAATGATTTTGCTAATTAGTGCGCTCTTTTCAACCTCTCCAGTCTGCCATAGTTTAGCAGCTTATTCCTGCAAAAAAAGTGATTTCTTTCAAACTTTTTGTTTTTATGGATTTTTAAAAGTCAACCATGTTGAATAAACCTGAGACTGGGCAGAAATTGACATAAAAAGTCGAAGGAACAGAAAGGGACAGGACGACGTCTCAAGCTCAGCTACCAGGTTTATTTAGTCCTCCTTCTTATATAGGCCACAATCAGCCACCACCAACACAAAGTGGCAACTCTAACCAGTTCAAATGCCAAACCCTCTAAACCTGGTAGCCGAGTTTGAGACTTTGTCCTGTCCCTTTCTGTTTTTTCGACTTTTATGTTAATTTCTGCCCCAGTCTCAGGTTTATTCAACATCTTGGGTAAAACCAGCTGAACAAAGGAAGGAAGGTGACAGGAGAAAAAGATTGGCGAACCGAGCGTAAGTCTTGGCTGAAAAAAACACTGATAATAAGTCTTTTTTTGCCGCTTTGATCTTGGTCATGAGGTCTCATAACCAAGATCAAAGCGGCAAAAAAATACTTATTATCAGTGTTTTTTTTCAGTCAAGACTCACAAGGAGGGAGTTCCCTTTCGGGCCATTGTCTCGGAACGAACCACCTGGCAGGCCTGCGTGTCAAAATTTCTGACCCAACAACTATCCAATGTCCAAATCGATGACCCTTTCCGAATACAAAATTCAGAACACGTAATTTCCTTCCTCCAAGAACAGGGACACCTCATAGCCTCCGGGTTCTCTATAGATGCACAAGACATGTACTATTGTATTCCCCACACAAGCCTCCTACAAATCATTCAAACCACCATCGAAGAAAGAGGCCTTTTTAATTTCCAAAATAATGCAGGGATGAGCGTAGGTCATTTCTTAGAAATCCTACAATGTTACCTGTCAGCGACTGTAGCAGCTCATCAAGAACATCAATACGTGCAAAAGAGTGGAGTGTGCATCGGCTCACAAGTGGCTCCTCTTTTATGTGATATTTTTCTTGCCATGTGTGGACGAGCCATCCAGAAGGTACTAAAAGATACACGCATAGCGGGTATCTTTAGATATGTGTACGAGTTTCTTATTCTATCCACCACACAAATTAACGAAAAAGAAGACGGATGCCTCAACACCACTATGACACTATTCCAACAAAGCTGTTTGGGCCTAGCCTTCACCTACGAGACTCCTGTGGACGATTCCATTCGGTTTCTGGATTTAGCTTTGACATTCAAAACAGGACACGTATGTTGGAAATATCAAGCACGATCGGGGAAGGCATTTCTTTCTTATGAATCGGAACATTCTAAGAACGTAAAACAAGCTGTGGCCATCTCACCTCTTACAGCAAGTTTAAAAAAATCATGTCCCCATCAAGTACAACAAAGTTTTGACACCCAAATAGCTCGACTTCATAGCGCGGGATACCCGAAACCCATGATGGCCTCCATCTGTGAAAAAATATGTCGCACCATCAAGACGAATAATGCTACGAGTCAACAAACGAAAAACCCAGACCACCCTTTTGTAGTGATACCATATATTCACGGGGTTACCCATAAGTTAAAAAAGATAGCGAGCCGGCAAAACGTGCAAGTCATTTGCTCGGCACCTAACAAGGCCTATTCAATGTGCCGCAAAATTAATCAGGCACCAATCAACATTAAGGAAAAGTGTAACACCAGGCACCGAACACAATACGCTCCTTGTGAAAAGGAGGTCACATATAACATACCGCTAACATGTGGCCGCTGCTACATCGGACAGACCGGTCGATGTATTAACGACCGAGCACGTGAACATGCAGCGAACCTCAGGAGCCTTGCGGGACTAGGACATTTAGCTGCCCATTGTCGGACATGCCTGTGTACAGCAGAGCTCGACCATGTTCACATAATGGGACACCATAGAAACCGGGTTGCAAGGGAGGTTTTAGAGGCCCTTGCTATCGACGAAGAAGACAAGTGCGTGAGCATCCCTTCAATTACTTTGCAAGCCAAATAAAAACTCTTTCTACAAGGCACCCTTCGTGGGTAATTGATAAAAATCAGAAAAAATAAGAAAAAATAAGAGCAAAAGTAAGAGCAATGGGAAAGAGGAAGAAAAAGGATGATTGGAGATGAATTAAAAGAAGAAAAGGAAGATTTAATAAAAAACAGTTGGTAGTCCAGCGGTCGGTTTGCCAATCTTTTTCTCCTGTCACCTTCCTTCCTTTGTTCAGCTGGTTTTACCCAAGATGTTTCAGAACCAACTAGCTCAGTTTTTGCCCTTATTCAACATGGTTAACATTCACCAGCTCGCCTGCAACCTTACTATTTTATTTTTAAAAGTCCTAATTGAAACACCCGGCATATGTTAAGTGGTGTGCTTCGCTAATTTAATAGAAGAATTTAAAAAATAAAAGAACTAAGCACCTATTGAAAATGGGATGAGATAGTCAGGTTTTGTTGTTATCTTCAGAGTTTGATCATCCAGGACCAGGAATCTATAGGGATTAAATGTTTCGGGACTTTCCCAAAGGTTCGGGTCCATGTGAACCGCCCACAAGTTAGCCATCACGGCTGTTCCCTTGGGGATGACGTATCCTCCTATGACTATGTCTTGATCAGCACTGGAAGAAAAAGACCAAGTATATGTCACCATACTTCATTAGAAAACGCGAGCGCGGTTGCAGTGCCTGAATGTTTCGAGTTTTCGACATGTAACGTAGAACAATTTCAGCTGTATTCGCCAGTCGTGACCAACTAGCGCTTTCTTAAAGTTGGTATCGCGTCTGGGTGGTCGCGAACTGAAAGAAAAAATCAGCGACTGAGGATGAAATATTTCTCCGGTATTCACGAGCGCGAAGCGAGCGGGTGACTATCTAGTCAGAACTAACAAGCCAAAGTGACATCAAAAAATAGGTCACGCATACGCGTACTTCTACACCGCTGCGTAAATGGTTATTTCGTTGTATAAAAAACTAATACTAAAATGTTTATCAGGAAAAAAAAAGTTATAATGAGAGACTAATTTTCCGAGACAATCAGACAATCCGAAAAACGCCCGTAAAGGCGTTTTTTCTCGTCGTCTTGCGCCCTGCTGAGATCGCTTTAGTGGTATCTCTGACCGTTAAACATGGCCATTTACACAATATTTGCTCCTCCATTTCTTTCTAGATTCGCCCCTCAGAATTTCGAGACAGTGAGTGCTTCGTTAGCTCTGGCTGTCAGCGGTGATACTAGTCTGCCATGGCGCTGAGCCGCTAGTCACCCCCTAAACACCGGCTAAACTTGCCCTACCCCATGACTAAGATTTTTTAGTCGACTTCTTAGTTGCGCGGGGCGACTAAGTCCTAAACACGACCGGTGAATTCCAAGCGCTCACTTAGCGGCGACTATCGTTCGCCACGTGATAATTTTAGTTGATGACATCGCTAGTCAGTGGTTAAAGAGGCGCTACTCGCCCCTGGCGAATACGGGTTGTTATGTTTAATTTTTTTTTTTTAATCTGCGGACGCGTGATGGATATCTAGTAGGGATAGTTTCCGTTTTATGAAGTAGGTACACAGTAAGGTTTCCTACGTTCCTTGGGGTTTGATTTTAAATCGCCGGAAGCTGTGTGTCTGGTATGCAGACTGTTTTTGAGCTGGACGATAGCACATCAAACTGCGATTAAACTTTTGCAGTTATCCCGTTACTACGGACGCTCCATCACTCATTCCGCAAGCCTACACTATACCCTATCTAAGTAGTTGGGCGCAGCGTAGCCAAAGGTACAAGGGGGAGAGCGTAACCCGAGCAGTTGAAAAGCAGGGGAAGAAGGAAATCCACACTTTGGCGGACCCTCTTTTGTGAAGCCAGCATCGCTTTGCGCTTCTTCGGAAATCAGCCTATCACTCAGAATTCATAAAAAAAAGGCTTTCCTTTTTCTCTCCACCGTAGCTTCCGCAGTACTGCCCCCAATTAGTGAGACAGAGTATAATGATCCGCACTCCCCCATATTCTTACGCTCCCTCACCATGTATACGCGTGGAGGCCGGTTATGAGGCGATTAAATACTGGCGCGTGATCGGTCCGGCCAGCACTTAGCTTCGATCGCCGTCTGCTTAAAGGGCTACTCCACCGATGTTTTCATTGTCTCCGATTTGCTTGAAATTTTGCTAAACTAACCAACAAACATCGCGAAAATAGTATCCCAAATATTAGGTCAAAATATTGTTTTTTCGCGAAGCTATTGAATTTACAGTTTTGGTCCTCACCGTGTTTTTCAAGCTCGAAGTCTCTACTAGCAACAATGAAAAAGTGACGTCAGTTGAAGGCAGGGGTTCACTCTTTGGGCTGTAGATTTTGTTTTAAACTGATGCGAAGCAGTTTCATGGTGTCAAATGAATGCTTGGGAAGCTCGCTGCAGTACCCGCGCTCCAGCACGGAACAAATGATTGGCATATTCTATTTTTTGGCTGCTTGCTCGACTGGCAAGCCTGCCTGCCACTGACGTCACGGCCCTGAAAAGCGCGCGTATATTTGAATGTTGGTTTTTGCATCATTTTCATTTGCCGATTTCGCAACAACTATTATAAATTTCGCGATTTTAAATAGCATACCGGAGAGAGTAAAGGCCGGGGAGTCAGAAAATATAGTTAGTTGAGGTAGCTCAAAAAATCGGTGGAGTACCCCTTTAAGGGGTGTCCAAACGGGATACTTCTGAACGCGTGAGGTGGAACTTCTCCGCCATAGTGAACGTTGAAGTCCGGCAGTTCGTCTTCTGCTTGGACTTGAACAACCAGGCAAATGCCGCGGCTTTCCTCCTTGTCTCCTGTGCTTTCTTGTGACATCGGTGCTTGTCATACTTGACGTCATACACCACTTGCCAATAGTGTACCTGTTTGCTTGTCCCCCTGTTCTGGTGAGCCCTTGTGTCCTTCCCTTTCCCCTTTTCGAGACTTAAAGAGCATCGGTGGCCTCAAGCGATTAACTGGCAGCCACTGACCGGGCCCACGTGATGAGTATGTTTTAGGCCTTCGTGAAGAATATAAGTGGAACTTTGCGGAGGGAAGCTTCCCCCCCCCCGGCAAAACAAACGGACAGAAGCGAAACGCCACTCTCGTTCTTGAAGTGACCTGTTTGGACATCCCTTTAGCAGTGAAGACACAATAAGAAAGGCGTTTGCGTCGAACCTTGTACCTTCCTTGGTTGGAGGCGGCTATACAGACAAAATCCAGATTTTATGGCCAAGCCATGCCCTACTCAGTGAATTTGTACTTTCATGCTTCTACTAAGGCACCACTCTGAATTCGATTTTGTAATACGCCTGGCTCAATACATATAAAAGGAATTAACATATTCTAGATTGGCGTATTTTAAGAAAATATAGCTAAACGCAGATATTCCCACACGAAATGAATCATCGCTTGCAATATACATTGTAAGGTTGTTCTGACACGCATATGCGATATCCATCACCGTAAGCAAGAAATAATCCAGAAGATGCTTGAGTGTCTCATGCATTAAAATAAAATCGAAAACTCATTTCTTTAATCACTTCTTCGCTTTTTTTTTGTTGTTTTTTTTGACAAAATAATAACATAATCAAGGAGTTGTTCGGTGTACATTTGTTTCGGGAAGAATTTAGATGTTTCGGTATTGTAATAGTGTTTGGAATGGATATCCTTTGTAATAATCGGTGTTGATTTATATTCTTCTTTCACCTATAGTGCAACATAAAAGCGCGCGAAACTCTATGTATAAGAATCAAGTTTCTCTGGTAGCTTCAAACATTGAAACCCACTGGCAAATGTTTAAATATACTATATTAAAATAGGGCACTTTCTGCTTGCCTCCTTGGTATAGCCAACGGCATTACCGTCTTCCAGCGTTGCATCTCACGTATGCTTGCCACAGTGAAGGGCATGTGGTGACTGTCCTGCCACGAGGGCTGTCTATCCTGTCCGACGACGTCGTCTATTTCCTTCTGTATCTTTCTCTGGGATGTGTCCGGGTTCGCGGCGCACACTAGTAAGTGCCACGCGAGACTTCGATTTAGGGAGTTGGTACCGGCGCCGAAGAGATTGAGTAGGTTTCCCGGGAGGTATTTTACTGCAAGGAAAGAACAAACAAATTGTTATCATTTTAACACAGAACGGACCTATGGACATAGCTGCACCTAACCATTTCCAGTATCGCATTCCTGTAAAAAAGAAGTAATGAAGCAATGGTGAGGGTGCAGGCTAGCTGGTGTAAATTGAGCATAGTTGTAACCCGAGACTGGGGATACCGACAAGGGACAAAACACAGAACGACAGGGACGAAGTCTCAAACGCAGCTACAAACTTTATTTCACAGGACAAACATATATGTCACTCGCCACCCTCGTCCCCCTCTTTTTCCCTTCCTTTTCCCAAAACTCCACCCCTTCCCTCTTCCTTTTCCCAAGCCCCCGTACATTCCAGTCAAAAACAATTTTGATGGCGCCAACTCCAAGTTGCCGACAGATCCCGTGTCAACAGCCCACACCGCGACATCCCGAGGTCACTCCGGCTCTCCCAAACACAGTCGCAAAGACGCCGACAGAACCCTTGTCCCCCCACACACACCGTGAAACCCCGAGGTCATCCCGGTTCTCTCAAACCAGTCAGCCGCAAAAATTTTTCGGCTTCCGAACTTAAGTGGACGGACGTGTGGCTGATGCATTCGGGAGACGTCTTTATTCTAATGGTCTCTCTCACTAATCTTTTCATGTCGTTGTTTTCTTTTTCTACAATCTTTACGTCTCCCCAGGCTGGAGTGCAGTCGGCACATTCATTCAAATGTTTAGCTATTTCCGAATTCGTATCATTGTTTTTTACATTTCTTTTATGTTCCGATAATCTGTCATTCACACTGTGTGAATGACAGATTATCGGACATTCACACACAGTGTGAATGACAGATTATCGGAACATAAAAGAAATGTAAAAAACAATGATACGAATTCGGAAATAGCTAAACATTTGAATGAATGTGCCGACTGCACTCCAGCCTGGGGAGACGTAAAGATTGTAGAAAAAGAAAACAACGACATGAAAAGATTAGTGAGAGAGACCATTAGAATAAAGACGTCTCCCGAATGCATCAGCCACACGTCCGTCCACTTAAGTTCGGAAGCCGAAAAATTTTTGCGGCTGACTGGTTTGAGAGAACCGGGATGACCTCGGGGTTTCACGGTGTGTGTGGGGGGACAAGGGTTCTGTCGGCGTCTTTGCGACTGTGTTTGGGAGAGCCGGAGTGACCTCGGGATGTCGCGGTGTGGGCTGTTGACACGGGATCTGTCGGCAACTTGGAGTTGGCGCCATCAAAATTGTTTTTGACTGGAATGTACGGGGGCTTGGGAAAAGGAAGAGGGAAGGGGTGGAGTTTTGGGAAAAGGAAGGGAAAAAGAGGGGGACGAGGGTGGCGAGTGACATATATGTTTGTCCTGTGAAATAAAGTTTGTAGCTGCGTTTGAGACTTCGTCCCTGTCGTTCTGTGTTTTGTCCCTTGTCCGTATCCCCAGTCTCGGGTTACAACTATGCTCAAAAAAGAAGAATTCGAGAGTGCCAGCCGAACGCTGACGCCGCGCTCGTTCATACTCACTGATTGCGACCAAGGGCCAGTCAAGCCGCTTGGTAGACTAGACCCGTGTTGCTGCCGCCGGTTACATCATGTAATCAAACAAAGCGAAGCCAGCGACGCGATCTGCTCATAGCACACACTAAACGAGCCAGCTCCGGGCTTTAAGCTTTCTGTCACGGACGCGTTATATTTGTTTTTATTTTATTTAACTGTATTTTGTAGAATATACCCGTTCACAAGGAGGCAGCAGCGCGTCACAATTCTTTCATACTCTTCTTTACTGTTTTTCTCGCTCCCGGAGCTGCCCCGTCACCAGAGGCAGCGGCACTGCGATGGCATCCATCTCGAGGCTGCGTCAAATTCTGTGTTACCACACTGCCCTTGCCACAAAAAAAGAAAAAAAAAAAAATAGGTTTGTGAAAAGTATGATACTCCAACAATGTATATGATGAGACAAATACCAGGACACATTTGATGAGAACTGCATAATTAAAGACAATAAGCTTGGAATGTTTCAGAAATCTGAATACATCTAGAGCAAGATACCACCTCGACGATATATTTCTTTTAATTTTTCCTGAAATAAAGCGATTGATATAGACATCTCACCTTAAACAGTAATTTATTTTTAATCATGGACACCTCACTATATACAAAAAAAATTTGGTGACCAATTGGGTAAGTGCAATGGTGTGCACGCTGGTATTGCAAAACCCTGGTACCTTACCCCTTTATAAATGAACGAATATTGGCTAGTTAACATTAACAAGTCAAATTTTATACGATGTAAGAGGAAACAGAGATGTTCATATAACCGAGGCAAGACTGTTTTACCTTTAGCTTTGCTTTAAAGGCTATATGTCGTCTCACCTGAGGTCCAGACGCAGCCGAGGCTACGAGATGATGGGATCAATCAATCAGCGCCAAAAGCCCACCATCATGATTTTCGTCTTATTTCTGTGCGCGTTTTGCTATTGCTGAAACAATCATGAACACAAAATGCCTAGTGACTTTAGCTTTTAATCCTGCTTGATTGGTATCATTACCTCGTAGTTTAGGGTGCGTCTGGACTTAAGCTGATGCGAAGTATGGTAGTGATATTTTCGTTTAATTGTGATCGACTACATGTGGGCTCATTGCTATAAAATTATTATAATGTGCGCTAGAGCTGCAACTGGCGCTAATATCTCTGCGATTCCCGGGTTACAAATTGAAGCAAACTGCAAACAGTCTAGTTTAGCGGCGCCCCTCTGCATCTCTATGGGAAACACGCGCACATTTTGTCTCTTCGCCGGAGAGTAACAGGAATCACCTTTGTTACTTGGCTGGTAGCGAACGCTAGGTAACATTATTAACATTGTGTAAATGTGATTGCTTTAGTTACCGTATTTTTCTTTATCAGTGAACCATGTTAAACTTCGCTATATTTCAGGCCGAAACTTCTGCTTCGTTGCAGGTGTGTAAACTGGAGAGATGATTATAAGCAAAATGAAAATCAAAAGGAATGTAGAGTGCGTTCAAGGTTCGCCAGCATCCCAGTTGCGCTTATACATTGGTAACATTCTGATCCCTTCACTATACAGAAGTGACCCCATCGTGTATCTTTACGAGCTGGTAAAAAGAATAAAGTACATGGGCTATGAAAGGTGTGTCTTTTTATTATTTCCTATGCCGGCCAGCTTTTATCGCAAACATGTTATGTAGCATCTCCCGCTTCTCAAACATTTAGAGCGTGTTGATGGTGTTATGAATGCAGAGCAAGCATCTTCGTACTGTATGAGCATATAATGACTGAAGTTGTACTTATCATTTATTGCAAATCAGGCTTTAATATTTGAACTTCACTTTATTTCCATCGTCAATATGCACAGGGAGCTACTCATCTGGTATTAATGCGTTGTTCCTGCCGTGTGTCTTAGTTTTTCAAATATTCTTCGTTCGTTTGGCACGTAAATCTCCCATGATAAAAAGCGCCAACGCCGTGTTTGCTCAAACAGTGTCCGACAGTGCGCATAAAAAATAAATATATAAAGTTGTCTTAGTACTGCGTTTAATGCCATGAATTTGAAAAAAAAAACACTGCAACTAACCAATATTTTCATTTACGTGATTGAAAAATGTTCCAAGTTAATTACTACGTTGTAGGTATTCTTAATATTTGCTTTCTTAATCGAGCGCAGAGAAGCAAAATGCACCCACTTTTTCTCGTAGAAATGCATTACCAAAACTCAATTTTTAGCTGGTTGCTGTCTATTTCAATTTGCCACAGCACGCTCGCGCCAGTTATGTTTCTATAATGTACATTATTATAACTACATGCTCACTGCCTTTCCATAAAAGGCGCTGAACTGATATCGGCTGCAGCAGAAACGTTTCCGCCGTGAGCAGTCATGAGGGGACTTGTAACGCACACGAACGGTAATGTGACAACCAGCCTCCCTCGGGAGCGTAATTCACTATAAATACTGACAAGGTGGAGTGACTTCTAACGTTTTCAATGCACGCCTCTTGCTACGTGATGCTTGCATGATGTATGTTTTTTTATCAGCTGATGCGGCGCTTCTATTGGCAGAGGAGCGAACATAAGATGCCCGTAGGGCGAAACCCGCCACGCAATGCGTTTTCTATATATGCTATCGATGACTACAGCTATCTATTGTAAATCAACGCGATTAGTTATTTTTGCTCTCCGCAGGTAAATACCTATCTAGGCAGACACTGCATGATGAGACTGTTATACCGTAATCACCCTTCACAGTGTCAAGTTCCCAGTTGAAATTATCTGCCACAATTTTCTTCGATGGTACTCACGACTGATGTTCGGTTTTGAAGCTGCATTCTTCAAGAAGCCCTCAATATAGTCGCCATGAATGTGACTGTGAGGAGCGGCTTGATGTTCTTGAATTTGGTTTCTAAGAAGAATGAAAACCGGCACATTCAGGTACATTTTTTTTTACAGCAGTGATATTTATTGGTACGTATTCTAGCGGAAGCGCATTTACAAGGTACGGCTTTGTACCCAGTGAACCATTATCCGGAGCACAAGCTTGTCTTGATTGCAATGAGTAAGATACCAAATAACAGCGGAACTTCACTGCGATTTCCCAATCAATATAAAGCCAAAAATCAAAACACTCGACACCGAAAATATTGAGCTTTCAGCAGGGCCCTCACAAGTCTAAGTGAGAAATAACGTGCACGCATTTCGTCATCCGTCGTATACGTTGTTGGTACCGCAGATTTCGTCTTCGATCACAGGCTTCTACTACGAATGACGATTTTGAACACCGAGGTTTCCCTACATATTAATCACCCTTGTACGTGTCCCTCTCGTAGTGACCGATTCAAAACAGTCATGGGGTGTTTTGGATCTAGATGGCACAAGACTTCCGACAATTACTGGAAATAAAATAACTTTGTTTTATTCAACCAGTAAGACTGGTCATCCTGCAAGGCGAGCAGCAGCGGGGAAACTGTTAAAAGCCTAGTGAAAAAGCTGGCTTGCTACCTCGCAATTTCCAATGGTCATAGTTTACTCGTCTAGACTCCCAGCAGCTATACGTCA